CCCTAGCAAAGTCGAAAATCTCATGGGCTAGGGTTTATTTTCGATAAACCCTAATTCTTTGTTCTATTCATTTTATGCACAATCAACAGAAAACTATGGCTCTGCTACCACTGATAGGTTTTATAGGTTATGATTCAAAGCATGAGGCAAAATAACTTAACCCTTAAGTTCACATACAACCTATTTGGATCTAAGTTTTCTCTATTGATAGCTATGAACATCAAGAACCCTAGCAAACCCTAGGTAATTTCGAAATTACAAGAAAGTTAGGGTCTACATACCTTTTGATTATTATAGCAAATAATCAAACCAATTCCTTTCTTCAAATGTCTTGGAAATCAAGCACGAGAAATCCAATGCCTCTAATGGTTTTTACACAAACCCTAGCAATTAGAAAACTTGAGGAGAGAGGAGAGGGAGTTGGAATTTCGGATATTCCGTTGGTAGAAGTGGTGGACGAAAATAAGGAGCCAATAGGGTCTATTTACAACTGATACAAGGAGCCTTGAAAACTCTAATTTGAATATAATAGTATTATTTTAAATTTGATAATTATCCAACTCCTTAACTCCTTTTAAGGATTAATCTAAAACCCTTAAAAAAACTCCGAAAAACCACCCCATGACCCATGAAAGGTTCTGGAAACTCTCTTATTCAACTATTGAACAGTTACAGCTTAAGTCCCTGTATTTTTAATTAATCCAATTAATCCCAAAATTAATTTCAATTAATTTCTGATTAATTTTTAATTAAATAATACCATTACTAATTAATATATTAATCTCATAATATATTAACACGTTATTTATTGTTATTTGTTAATCATATAATAAATCAATAAATCAGTCACTCTTTCCAAAAGTCATTATAATCAATTACTAGTTTTGAAAGCAATCCAAAAATGATTTTGTCTCTAATTCAAGTATATACCAATTTAGTTATTAGATTAGACACCTTAATCCAACATGAATTTGGTCACATATAATACGTTTTCATTGGACGTTATATATTAGAGTTAGTTAGTGGTACCGATCTTGTATATTTATTTACTAACAAATACAACCGACAGTTGGCACCTTTCAACATTCACCCTTGTACTTTTTAAAATGTCACTTTAACCCCCTCGACTTTTAACTTTATAAAAAGTCATTTTCACCCACTTATTTTTCTAAACTTTTGTGTTTATCCTCATAGTATATATAATCTGATTTTCCTTAATAAGTTATGTTCGTTAACTTAAAAAAACTAACTTTTTATGTATTTATTTTTTATATATATGTTGGTATAAATTCAAGGTGGTCAACACTTCAACATAAGTTTAGAACTTTCGTTTATTATTTTTTTTTAAAAAAAAGACTTACTTGTTTTTTTAATGTACGTATCGGTATAAATTTGAGTTTGCCTACGTTTCGAAGTAATTTTTTTAGCGTTTTTGTGCTTATTTTTTATGTATGATTCGTCGCTGCCTACATGTGAGTTGGGTCACATATAATACGTTTTTGGTTATTTGAATTTTTGCTCGTTAACTTGAAAAAAAAACAATATAACTTGCTTATTTTTATGAATGTATCAGTATAAATTCGATGTTCTTTACGTTTCGACGTAAAGTTTGTGTACGTTTACATGCTTATATTTATGTATATTTCCTACGTATGAGTTTGGTCATATATATTACATTTTCATTCAACCGTATAAATTAGAGTTAGTTAGTGGTACCGACCACTAACACTTGCCATCCTTCAATTTTGTGAAATGTCACTTTACAACCATCTACTTTGTAAAATGTCAATTTTAATCCCTCGACTTAGAACTCTCTAAAATGTTACTTTCATCCATCCATTTTCTAAAGTTTCGACGTTAAACCCCATAGTATATATAATATGATTTTATATAGTTAACACACTTCAACTTTGTCAAATATCACTTCGATCCCCTTAGCTTTGAACTTTGTAAAATGTCATTTTCACCCCCCTCGACTTTCTAAACTTTCGTGTGTGCCCCATTCGTCGACGGTTTTGTTAGTTGTACTGACCTTGTATGTTTATCTAACAACAAATGTGACGATACCTAACTTTTATCAATACAATCATCAAAATTTAATTTTCAAAATGTATTGATGCCGCCGCAACGTGTGGAAGACAAAATAGTAGTTATGTGTTTAAATTGTATAGTAACATAATTTAAAATTTCAACAAAATAACTTAAAATGTCAACATATAATTAAAAAAAAATAAACAAAAATAACAGAAAACATTAGGTCATCACCAAGTGGACCGGTTAACCAAAGCACCATATGACATGTCATATATGCATGGTAGCCAATTTAGACTTTTTATTTTAAGAAAACGATTTGGAAAATTTTCGGAAAAATCTTAATATTTCTTCGTAATTGACGAAAAAATCTCAAACTAAAATTTGTTTACGAAAAAGTCATAATTACCGGTAAAAATGATAATTTTACCCTTTTTTCCTGTTTATCGGTTTCAATACTTACCCGGTTTCATTAAAGTCTCATTATTTTACCATAATTTCATTAAAGTCTCATTATTTACCATAATTTGGAACTTATTCGTAAATTATGGTAAAATAATGAGACTTTAATAAAACCGGATAAGTAATGAAACCGGTAAACCGAGAAAAATGGGTCAGATCGTCACTTTTACCGGTAATTTGGATTTTTTTCGTAAACAAATTTTAGTTTGGGACTTTTTCATAAATTAGGATAAAATATTGGGACTTTTTCGGAGATTTCCCAAACAACTTTCTATATAAACTTTAAAGTTCATGATTAAACATTTGATATTAGGCGCTCGGGTATACCAGGCACGAGAGGGTTCCGTGGCTAGGTAGCAAGGCCACCATCACAATAGACACTGCCCCCACCTCCACGATCATGGCATCATTTGATATTTTCCACAAAATACCACATCAAATCAAATTGTTCCTTTTCTCTATTCCTCCTCTCCTCCCTCTTCTTTCTATGGATCAAGATGGTGGCCTCATGTTAGACGTCAGTGGTGGAACCAGAAATTTTGATATGGGGTACAAACATTGTCGATATATTATATGTAGTTATCCAATATCGGACATTAAAAAACATGTTATAATCTCTTTAGTTTGGGGTACAATAACATGAAACATGTTCACAAATAATATTTTTTATATATATAAAACGATTTTTTGGAGATACTTTAGTACCCCAATGCACTATCTAGCTCTGCCACTTTTAGACATACACCACCAAGGATTGTGAAAAGAGATGGTGATAAGGTGGAGGGACATGGCATGGGGAGTATTCCCTATAGCCTAATTTATGTGACATTAACCCTTTCAGATCAGGGAAGGAACTTTTCTATAAGAATTGACGTGTAGAATTAAAGAAGGTGCTTAAGTTTTGTCGACTATGGGTCCAACATTGATTTTTGGTGCTTGATGTGGTCAAACTTGCTCCTTTTCTAACATCGGAGACTAATACGTGCCCAAACTATTTGGTTGTTTCATTTTATTTTATTTTTTTTTTTATTTTACAAATATAAATTAATGAGTTATTAAATATTAGTTATTTTTTTATTAAAGATTAGTTAATTGAGTGGCCGATCATGAAAAGATGTATTGATTGGATTCGTGTTCCCATTAAGGTTTTTGGTTTCATTTTGCGAGCAAAACAGGATAGAATCCCAATCTCGTATGAACTTTCAAAAAGGGGAGTGGAAAATGGATCCACAATGTGTAGCTTTTGTCTGAACAACGAGGAAGACGTTAATCACACTCTGATCAGGTGTTCATTTGCTATCTCTGTATGGGAGTGGATACTTAAGTGGTGTAATTTGTCCCCAAATCAGTTTCAAACAGTTGACGACATCATCACTTTCGCTGCAACAAGGTGGAAGTGTAAAAAGAGGAGAAACATCCTTATTACCATCTGTTATTGCACTCTCTGTTGGAGGAAGGCAAGATGTGATAGAGTTTTTAAAAAGACGCGTACCCCCCCCCCCCCCTTTCCTATCACGGTGGCAGATATCATGAAATCTCAAACATTCATTTGGATCAAACATAGAAATGTGAATTGTTCATATAATTGGGTTGATTGGTGTGTGTCTCCTTTCCTTTGTATGTAACACTCTGATTTCTTGTACTTCTCTCTACCCCGTCTAGCTCCTTGCTAGACGGGTGTCAGTGTTTTTTTATTAATGATATTTGCCGATTCCAGAAAAATATTAGTTATTTTTTTGTCAAAATATGTCATCATACACATTACTAATCATGAACTTGATAATAAACATATCAAATAATAAGACCCCAAAAAAGAATTAGTAATCTTCTTACTCTAATGTGTTCAAGTGTTTTCACATATACTTTTTTCCTAATTTTATAACCATAACAACTTTTGTCAACAAGGTAAAAATGTCCATCATAAATTTACATCCAAGGTTCATTCAAGAGATAATGTAAATTTTGGTTTCACTTTAAGTCACTTATATATGCTATACATAGTTATTATTATTATTAAGGCAATTACGGAAACTTAATTCCAATTTTAGTCACTAAATTTGTTCCAAAAGACCATTTTCTGCATTAACTTTTAAGGTTAAATGAGTAATTCAATATGCTACCACAAAAATGACTTTTTTATATAAATAAAATGTTACGCGTTACACTGAAATATTATAACATTAAGAGTTATTTATATAAAATTAATCTTTATCATATTTTCTCTCTAATGGTCGAATGGAGACGAAGTTAACGAATAGATAAACTAACATCCAAAAATGAGTTAAAACCATTTTTCATATCTTCATAACCGTACGTTGAAAGAGTACCAATATGGCATTTATTTCATCTGAAAATTCAAATCAACAAAACTAAAAGTAAACTCTAAAATTCAAAGCATTTAATGATGCGCCTCTTATAAATATCAAATGTCAGATAGTTCATCTTGCATTCACAATTTCACAAAAGCAATAATCGGAAAAACACAATACTAGTTTCAGGGTTCAAAAATGGGAAGCTTTAATATGAATTTAGTGGTGTTCATGGCTATAATGGTTGCATCCATGCAGCTTCACGGCACTGCAGCCCAGACAAGGCATGTCGTTGGTGACGCCTTGGGATGGACCATTCTTTCCGGTGGGGCCGCTGCTTACACCACTTGGGCGTCACTTCAAACATTCACCGTCGGCGACATTCTCGTCTTTAACTTCACCAACGGAGATCACGATGTTGCAGAGGTCTCAGCGGCGGCGTACGGCCCATGCACAGCCACCAATCCCATCTCCCTTGTAACCACTGGCCCTGCCTCCCTTACCTTGACCACCGCCGGCACCCACTATTACATCTGCACATTTGCAAGCCACTGCCAACTTGGTCAGAAGTTAACCATCAACGTCTCCGCCGACGCCTCTACTACACCTCCATCAGCAACACCCACAACACCGGCGTCTCCACCAACCACCATCCCTACACCTCCGTTATCAGCACCCACAACACCGGCATCTCCACCGACAATCTCCCCGACAACACCCGATGTTCCCTGTCCCCCTACCTCATCTCCAAGCTCCAGCCCATCATCACCACCAACCGTCGTAACCTCCGACAGGATCACTCCGGTTCCACCACCTAGTGGAGGAGCTCCGTCTTTCTCCGCCATGGTACCTGCCAGTTTCTTGATAATTGGCTTGGCTTTTTTGAACTATTAAATTTCGGACGCAAGAGATACACTTATTTATCATGCTTATCTACCAATGTTTTATTTTAATATTGGTTGCGACCACGATTACTATATGTTTTTTTTGTCCTACATTTCTTGTGAGGTCTCATCAAAATAAATAAAAAATAGTTTGTTTTATTTAGGAATTTATTAAAAAAATTACTTTTCTTTATTTGCTATAAATATTATGCGGTAAAGAGTCGGTGGTTTAGGGACTAATTTAGGATTAATGTGGGATATAAAAATAAAAAAGAAAGTAAAAATAAAAAGAAGTTAAATATTATAAGGTTTAAGTCCTTTTTAATCATTTAAATTTTGGTTTTTTGCTCATTTGGTCACCTAACTTTTTAAGTTTTAAAAAGTTATCGAACTGTTGGTTTTGTGTTCATTTAGTCACCTAACTTTCGATTTGGTCGCTTAAGTTTTGGATTTGTGCTCATTTAGTCACCTAACTTTTAAAATTGTGTTCATTTAGTCACTAAACTTTTAAAATAAAGTTATAAAAATAAGCATAGTTTTAAAAGTTAGGTGACTAAATAAACATAATTTTAAAAGTTAGGTGACTAAGTGAGCAAAAATCCAAAAGATTAGTGACAAAATCAAAAGTTATGTTACTAAATGAACACAAAGCCAAAAGTTCGGTGTTCTTTTAAAACTTAAATTGAGTTAACTGACCAAATGAGCACAAAGTCAAAAGTTAAGTGACCAAAAATGACCTAAACCCAATATTATAATATCCTAACAAAAATAAGTAAATAGTGATAAAAAAAACCATATTCTAGTTTAACAACAGGACAATGAGTGAGATATAGAGACATATGTTAGGATTAGCCAAACCCTAGATTAGGTAATAAATGGAACAACTTTAAATGTGTTGGAGAACATAATTTGATCATAATTGTGTTTGATTATTTGTCTAGATCATAGATAATTAATCGTAGATATATCTTACAGAGCCCAATAATCCTTAATAATCAATTATGTATCCACTTACGTATGACCATTGTATAGTTGTTCATGAAGTGGTGATATCGTTAGGAGATCGGATCAAGAATCCTAATAATATTCATATTGGTAACCAACTGAATTAATCTATATACTGAAACTAACCATAGGAAAAAGGGGGATTCAAAGCTAAACGAAAGTGTCTTCATAATCTTGATTACAATCGTCTTTAGTTAATTGTTTGCCTAAGTTTTGAGTTAATTAAGTAGTTAAGTTAACCTGTACTTGCAAAATCAGATAAAAACCCTCATTTTAGTTACTGTTTTTTAGATTAATTTTTGTAATTACTTTATTAGCTAAATAATGTTCCATGTGATGGACACCCGACTTACTTTTCTATATTATAATCTAACTAGGTACACTGCCTATAATTGACTCATTAGATAAGTTTAGTTAGGTTTATAAATTTAAAACTAGTAGGTATGTGTGTTCACATCAAGATACCTTGCACCCTGGTTAAAGTGTGTAAATAGAAAAGAAGCAGAATATCTTATAAGGGAGATGCATGAAAGAACATCAGGGGAATATGAAGGAGTAAGGAAAGTGGTGCAAAAGATAGCAAGATAAGGATACTATTGGCCGACCATGTATCAAGATACTGAACCCATTGTATATAAGTGTGAAAAATGCCAAAACCATGCGCCTATACCACGAAAAGCAACAATACCAATGATTGGAATCAGTAGGCCTTGGCCTTTTGCACAATGGGGCACAGAATAATGGTTCCATTCCTAGAAGCGCCCAGAAAAGTATGATTCTTAGTGGTAGCAATAGACTATTTTACAAAATGGGTAGAAGAAGAACCGTAAGCCACAATAACCGGCCACAACATCATCAAGTTCTTTTGGAAGCAAATCATATGTCGATTTGGAATCCCACATACACTTATCTCAGATAATGGAACCCAATTTGCAAACAATCTATTTTGAGAGTGGTGCGAAGATCTACGCAGAAATCAGAGGTTCACATTTGTAGCACATCCAGAAGCGAATGACCAAACTGAAGTAACTAACCGGACAATAGTCCAAGGATTATCAACAAGGTTAGACACAACTAAGGGATGATGGGTGGACGAGTTACCAAGAGTGTTATGGGCATACAAGACAACTCCGAGAACAGCAACAAAGTAAACACCTTTCAGCTTGGTATATAGATAGGAGGCAGTAATCCCATTGGAGATGATGGTCCTAACGGACTGAACAACTAATTATGATCAAACCAATTTGAAGATGATCGTGGAGAGAAGAGAGATAGCAAAAAATACGACAGGAACACTACAAGCAACAAAAGGAGAGTCATTATAGCCAAAGGGTTAGAGGAAGGTCATTTAGAGTAGGGGAACAAGTCCTTAGAAACAACGAAGCAAGCCTGCAAGAACCACAAGGTAAACTAAGGCCAATATGGGAAGGTCCGTATAGGATCCATGAAGTTAATAGGGATGGATCATACGTTTTGGAGACAATGCGGGGAGAAGAGATACACAGATCATGGCATGTGAGAAATTTACGAAATTTTTATGTGTAGAAGGGAAGCACATTGAAATCACCCATAAGGAGGTAAAATACATGATTTTTCAAATAAGAACGGCCAGAATACTAGTAGTATGGTCCCTTCGGGGACATCCGATAAAATCACCCATAAGGAGGTAAAATACATGATTTTTCAAATAAGAACGGCCAGAATACTAGTAGTATGGTCCCTTCGGGGACATCCGACAAAATTGGAACGATACAGAGAATACTAGTAGTATGAGACAAACGAAAACTCGATACACAAATTTCATGGTCTCGACAAAAGTCACACCATGATTATCATACCTTCATACATGTAGTACGAAACAAGCGACATCTCGGTACACTAATCCCATGGTTTCGAGAAAGTCACACCATGATGATCATATATGTTGTACGAGACAAACGACAACTCGGTACACAAATTCCATGGTCTCGACGAAAGTCATACCATGATGATCATACCAGCATACGTGTAGTACGTGACAAACGACATCTCGGTACACAAATTCTATGGTTTCGAAGAAAGTCATACCATGATGATCAAACATATAGTACGAGACAAACGACATCTCAGTACACAAATTCCATGGTCTCGACTAAAGTCATACCATGATGATCATACTAGCATCATGCTAGTACTAGATAAATGACATATCGGTACATGAATTTCATGGTCTCAACGAAATCCATACCATGATGATCATACCAGCAACCTAGCAGCACCAGACAAACGACATCTTGATACATAATGGAAATCATACCATCACGTGGGATAACCAACATGTTGAAGAATACTTACCACTTTATTAACAAAATTAAGCCATCATAGCCAACACATGAAAAGTTAAAGACATCTAATAAATCAACGAGAATAATATCCTACATAATACTTAGCAGAACGAGGAAGGCTTGGATAGATATAGCAAATCTATGACATGTAGGAAGAAAATTAAGGAGTGTGTGACATGATGATAAGAGCATACTAAAGGAGGATCATATTTAAAGGTGATACGTCAACCAAAATGCACAACAAAATACCTTGTTACACTAGCAAGCAATTACAACATCACTGCTTGCAAACAACAAGAAACGAAATAGCATAACCAGTTCACCATAAGTTTAAGACAATTTAGCAGAAAATTGAGCACGAAGAACTTCATTATCCCAAAGACGCCTCTCATAGTTAGCCTCCATCAATGCTCTTTGATTCTCCAATACAACAACCCTATCATTCGCAGTACGATGTTGCTCCACCAACTCGACATACATACTACATGCCTTCATAAGAAACTCTTCTCCATCCAACTTCATACTATCAGCAGCACGTAGGTTCACTTCAGAAGAGATATAATGATCCCAAAGGGTTAAGAGCCCATAAAAAATTTTATTTCCTTACCAACGGAAATGGAAATTATCTTCTTAGATCGGGTCATAGAACGACAAGCATCGTCTAGTTCCTCTTTAAACGGATGGCAATCGGCACAACCCTCTAGACACAAGAAAGGATAACCAATAAAACTAAAAGGAAAAGATATACAAAGTTATAAACGAAAAGAATGATTAGTAATAATGGAATGAAACTATTTTACCAACGGCAACATGGGCATGATAGTCAGCAGGCTCAGAGGATGAAGGAATGGATGCTCCGGATACCTCATGTTGAAAATCCTCGAATTTATGAATAGTTAATGTACATTTGCATTTACGAGATAAATACGAATCTATAGATGATCCAACACCAGCGTTAGAAGGAACATGAGGAAGAGGAGTAACTTCAGGGGGAGATGAGGAATCCACTAACAACTGCTCAAGAGAAAACACATCCGATCCGAAACCAGGGAGACTTAGGGGCGACCCAGAAATATGGAAAATGTTACCGACTTCCTTGTCAGGAATAACACCCTCCAACATGATAGATTTTGGGGTTATATCACCAGATAAATATGTCACCAAGTTGAAAGAACTTGTATTCCCATCTGAAACAATAAATGCAAAAGTAGCACCAACAACATTAATATTAGGAGAAAATAGATAAGGAAAGAAGGAAAAAAGTAATACTAATTTAATACGATTAAAAGGAAAAATTAAATGCATACCTGGATGAAGAACCGACAACATAGGCAATTGATTACGAGCTTTCAAAATTATGTTCATATGACAAAGTGCAAGTACAATTTCTGGAAAGAAATATCCTCTTATACACATATGAGAAAAAGAAGAGACATTCTTAAATAAGTCATATGGCAATGACACGGAATCATCCAACTTAAGGAGAGTACCAAGAGTTAAAGGGAGGAAAAGAATATTGGCATTCACCCAACAAAACTTGCTTTTCCATCCACCATTTGTACCAGGCAGATCAGGAGAGAAAGGTAAATGACAACTGCTAAATGAATACCAGTTTCTGTATTTCTATAGACGATAGAAGTATAAAAAAACACAGAGAGAGGAATGTGATGACCAAAACAATAAGCTTCAAAAGTTATGACCTTAGATACAACGTTTAGACACAGTTAAACATGGTGAATACCGTAAAAACATAGAACTTCCAAGAAGAATAATGACAGGGGAAGCCTCAATCCACATGTAAGGTGTCGGAGGTAAAAACCCACCTTACCATTGGGAGCATCAAGAATGCGGGCTGGTGATAATGGAAGGTGGAAACCGTGCACCTAAGAGAGTTGGTACTAATACATGTACCGATCTAAAGTGAAGTTATCAACATCACTAACAATGGATGACTTGTCACAAGCCATGACAAAATTACTATGTAGAAAGTATATGGATAATAAGAATGGAAGATTCTAACTAATGTTTACCCGCTAAATAATCAAGATAACCAGGTACAACATTAAATGCACAATCTAATCATATACGCAGACATGAATGATTAACGGCAGTGACATTTAATGCAAACTTATAGCAGACATGTGCGAGACGTTTCCTTACCCAAGAAGCTTATAAAGTCTAAATGGCAAAATAATTTTTCGTACCATTCTTTTACCCTTTAGAATAGGGGTGGGGGGGGGGCTTAATGGTGTACCTAGGTTGGTTATTAAATAAAAAGGGGATACTGGTCTGGTGTGGACATGACGAGTTATGACGAAAACCACAATAAAACATATAACAATGAAAAAGGACCATATCGACCGGGTTATATCCAATCCGGTTGATAAAAGAAATACCAACAGTTGTCATAAGTAAACCCAAGAAACAATCGTAAGGCACAACATATAAAATACAACACGCAAGGCATACCCCATATTTCTGGCAAAAGCAAGATATTTGGCAATAAAATAACAAGACATACGAGGAGCTATAAGTTGTCTTTACCCAAATATTATAAAGTGGTCGAGTATAACCTAGTACATGAGGATAAAAGGGAGCCTATAAAAACCCTTACATATCAAAGAAGCAGGTAAACATTCAGAACACTTAGAAACTCTTACCAATTTTGAGAGACCTTATTAGGCATCCGAAAGCAATATCGGGGTCCAACCCTCGGTATGGATTTCTAACATAAGGATTGTCCATTAATGCATCATATCTTATGGACTACTCGTTAGAAGAAAATAACCAATTCAATCTCCATCATGTAGGCGGGAGGCCACGTAGCAACAATACTATATTATTGTTTTTATTTATTAAACTATAAATATCAATTAATGATATTTTTCAAAATACGACATAAAATTAAAAAGTGAAAAATTACATAAGAAGAGATTATATAAAATATAAGAAAAGATATATATATATATATATATATATATATATATATATATATATATATATATATATATATATCCGGTAAGAAATTTTTTTTTGGTAGGAAGGTAAGAAGTTTTTTTTTCTACATATTTTTTTACGAAAAAAATAAATGAATCACTAGATGATTCATTTGTAAGATGATTCACAAGAAAAAATTCCCAAAAAAACATCTTTATGATTCATTTTTAAGTAAATTAAGAAAAAATTCATTTTTATGACAATTTTAGTGAATAACAACAAAATCATTGTATAAATGAATCATCGAGATGTTTTTTTGAGAATTTTTTCTTGTGAATCATCTTACAAATTAATCATTTTGTTTGTTCGCGAAAAAAATATGTAGAAAAAAAACTTCTTATCTTCCTACCAAAAATTTCCTTCTTATTTGATCTTGACTCTCTCTCTCTCTCTCTCTCTCTATATATATATATATATATATATATATATATATATATATATATATATATATATAAAGTTCAACCAATTAAAGAATATGTATAACAATAATTTTTTATTAACAAAAGTTAGCGGAAAAATAATAATAATTTGAAATGTTAACCATTACTGATTACCTAAAAGAAAACATGATTGAGAGATCTATTAAAGATTTTGAATATCCAAGTAAACTACTTTTGGTTTGAAGTTATAATATTTATATATTGTTTTACTAAGGCTGTAAGGAGTGGAAGTCGCCACCATGGACGCTAGGCCACGCTAGGCTCGCTGCACACCACCCATTTGCTTGCGCCAAGAGGGTCGCTAGAAAACACTCGCCATGCACCTAACGAGAAGAGAGAGAAAGAATTAAATGGGTTGTTGACTTTGGTGTTTAAACTTTACGAGAATTTTACATATCTAGTACTTCAACTTTTGGAGTAATTTGTCAATATAAACACTCAACACAGCTTAATGTTGTACATGCAATCTTCAAACTTGTTTTTTAAGTATAACTAAAAAACAAAATATAAAATTTTATGTATTAAGTTATGTTTTAGTATTTTAAGTTTTAATACAATGTAACTTTTTTATTTAATATTAAATATTTTTTCTTTATAAAAATATAATTTATCTAAGCTTTAAATAAATTAATCTAATATACTTAAATTTAATTGTTTGGATTTTATAAAATAAAATATATTTAATATTATTTGTTTCTG